ACAGAAAAGCAAATCAGTTAAAAACTTTTCTGTATAAGTTCTTAACTTCTCCCAAGGAAACTGGTTCAATTATCTTGGAAAAAACTCTTGAGTTTTTACCTTAGGATAACAGCCTAGCATCAGGCTGATTGAGAAGCAGGAGTGGGTGAGCAAGTTCCCATGTGCATATTCTTCAACAGTCTTTCTCAGCCAACTGTACATCCTGTTCCTTAGTGTCTGAGCCCAAACCTTAATGAGTTCTCCTGCCGTTCTACTATGGCCTTCCCTGCAGCCTACACTGGACATTAACTAGGCAGTTTCATCTTTTAAATCTGTGTTTGCCTCCATCACTCAGAATTCGGTGGGAGTCTTTAGGGCACTTGTAACTTTCCATATCTTCATTAAGATCTATTTTTAACAGACTCTCAGAAAAGGAGATGTCTTGGTTTACCACTTTGCATAGAACTGTAGTGTTACAGGGAAAAACAACACTTGTGATTTTGGAGGGTAGGTTAGGGGGTATCTATTTTCAACAGGCAGACCCAGAATCCCAGCTGCAGTGGGAGGGATTCAGTATAGTGTAATGGATAGTGAGTGTCTGGATTAGTGCCGTGTACACAAAGATATTTTAGAACAGTTAAGGATTTTGATCTTTCGATTTAGGAGGCAGGGAAGAATTAGTGATTTGTTGAGTGAAGTTAGAAGCAGACTTAAAGGATGACATTTCCGTGTCCAGCATGAGAACCACGTGGCTGGTGGCTTATTCTGTGGCACAGTGTGGAATAGATGGATATATACAATCTAGCCCGGTGAATACATGTTGTTCCCTTCTAAATGGTCCAAAGTCAATTGCACATACATGCTTGGGACAATGAATGGGGATGATGATGTAGAAATGGGCAATCACCAGCAGAAAGATGTTTTTTGGAGCTGTGCCTGCTGGGGCAGGACATGAAGAGAGGTTCAGGTCTGTGGGAGAATCTGGAAGAACAGTAATTAGCAAAAGAAGGGTAGGGGTAACCAGAAACAAAACCTTCCTTAAGCCTTAAAAAGTACTGATACTGAATTCATTAAGGAAGGACACAAAGAAGGACAAAAAATCCAAGATTTGGGTCTCAGGAGTCTTCAGTCCATCCTGTTCACTCACCTGTAAATGTGGGCTAGCCTGACTGACACCCCTCATTGGGATCACTGCCGCTGGCCAATCTGCTTCTAGTCTCTCCACACCAGGCCTCTTCACGGCAGATCTGAGCAACTGTTTCCCTTCTCAAAAGCCCTTAAAGGATTTCCATTGACTTAATGTGAATCTAAAATATCTGACCTGGAATAAAGTCTGTGATGTCAAAGACCATAGAGGACTCCCATCTCCTAAAGGCATTTTCTTGAACTTGCTGCCCAGAGGCTGCTCTTCGCTGAAAAGCCTTAGTCATGCTTCTCCTCAGACCACCATCTCCCCACCATGCAGTGGGTTCAACTAGTTACTCCCACTTCCTCGGTCCCTAGTCTACCCAGAGATGCCCTGCCCCATGAATTGGTGTTTTCGTCCTTCTTTGGCCTCTTCTTTCCTTACTGCAATGGTTTTTCCTCTGTCCCTGGGCCAACCTCATAGTCTACCCAGCTTCTTACACATATTCCAGGTCTCTTCTCCCCTCATCTCTCAGCCCACCACTGTCCCTCTACGGTTCTCATAGTATCATGATTTTTTCTTTATAACATTTACTGTAATTCTGTATTTTTTCATTCACTCATTCAGTCAGACATTATATATTCTTTTCTAAATCACCCATTTCATTAGGGCAGGAACCATGTCTATTTTTTTTTCCATTGCTTTAACCACCCAAAGAATCTGATAATGGCCAGGAATCCAATTAATTACTGAATGATTGATTTGACAGCTACACCGTGGCCTAAGACTCTCTTCTGCTGTTATGACAAACTATTACAGACAGGGTAACTCGTAATGAGAAGAGATGGCTGACTGACAGGATGGCTGACTGACAGGATGGCTGACTGACAGGATGGCTCAGCAAGCAGAGGCACCTGTGCTCAAGCCAGAGGATTTAAATTCAAACCCTGATTCCACAAGATGGCAGAAGAGAATGGATTCTAAGAGCTGCCTTCTGACACACACATCATGGCACTTGTGCACTGGCACACATATGCACAATAGACAGATGGACGGATGGACGGACAGATGGATGGATAGATGGATGGATAAAGGCAAAATAAGAGATTTATTTAGCTTATAGGTTTGGAGGCTAAGAAGTCCAAATGTGTGGCTTTGGTTGTGTATGTGGGGGGGGGGGCAGTTGCTACATCTTAACCTGCTGGAAGGACAACCATACAACAGAAAGAGAGAGAGAGAGAGAGAGAGAGAGAGAGAGAGAGAGAGAGAGAGAAACCTAGGGTCAATTTCATCCCCATGAGGAATAAACTCCTGAGATAACCAGGTCCCCGTGTAGCAAGCAGTTCATCCAGTCATGACAGCAGAGTCCCTTCTGACCCCATCACCTCTTAAAGTTCTCTCTCAGTATTACTGCACTGAGGACTGACCTTCAACATCATCTTTGGAGGCGACTTCAAAACCAAGGCATATGGTTAATTCTCTTTCATTGTTTTGTTTTATACCTTCCATGTTTTCTTTATCTATTTTCATAATTCCACTTTAGACACCATTTGTTTGATGCGTATTTATTTTATAAATTGCCAGGGTGCTTTAGAAATGCCCTGGTAATTATTAAGGAGTTACAAGTGTCTTCACTTGGACCTCCACTCTACCTAGTACATATTTCTATCATAACACAATTTTTAAAGAAACTTAAGTTTTAGTTTATGTTTATGGGTATTTGCCTGCATGTATTTATGTATACCACATCCATGCAGTGCCCATGGAGGCTAGAGAAGGGCATCAAATCCCCTCGAACTGGAGTTTCAGGTGGTTGTTACCCACCATATGGGCGCTGGGTAGCGAAGCTGGGTCCTCTGCAAGAGCAGAAAGTGATACAATTTACTTAGCCATCACAGTATTTCTACTTACTCACAATTTTTAAAAACTGAAATTAAAATATATCATTTTCTTTTCCTCCCCTAACCCTTCCCTTTACTGTCTCTCTTCCCAAATTCAGGGCCGTTGGCTCTTTTAATTATTGTTATACACACACACACACACACGCACACACACACACACACACACTGCTAAACATATAATCTGCTTAGTTGCTATAATGTAATTTATATGCATATATTAAAGGTCTGACAATTTGGTACCTGACAACCAACTGGGAGAATCTTCTCTGGGGAAGACCATCTTCTCCCTGTCCCAGCATTCCATAGCTGCCTATTGTTTAGCTAGGGGTGGAGGTTCCACAAATGTTTCCCCTTCCACGTTAGCACATTATCTTGCCTGTAATAATTATGTATTTATTATTAGATAATTACGTATCTATGGAAAATGGATAAAGATAATAAGCTGACGGACAGTCTGAAGGTAGTAAGGGTGAAGAGAATGTGAGTGATAAGCTGGGCCCTCCACCCAGACCTCAGATGTTCATGCTTTCATGCCCAATGTTGTGTCACAGTGTGGTTGTTCAGAGATTTATGTTACATCCTTGTTCTCTAGTAGGTGGGGAAGGCCAGGTTGCATACTTAAAGTATGTGGGGATATAAAAAGTAGGTCACTTTTCAGTGTAAAAATTGTAAGAGTAAGGTATGCATGTAAACTCTAATGAAAACATAAAACTGGGACAGCACAGAGAAGAGTTCTCATCTAGGATTTCCTGGTGAGTGTTACACAAATGATTCTGTTGGCAACTCCATCTTGAGTCATGGCAGCAGAAACCAAATACAAAAGGCATTCCTACACGGGCATTGGCCGAGACACTGGTCCACTTCAGGCTACTGCTACCTTGTTCCTAATCACTGTGTCAAAGGATCGTTGTTTCAAAAGTTACATAACTTTACACAGTTCTATCTTTAAAATCTTCCCTTTATATTAAAATTTTTAGAAGAAAGCATATGTATTATGACACAAATATTGCAGTGTTATCATCTTCCCATGTACATATCAGTTTCTTTGGAGAATTCCTGTTACTTAGTTGGTGACAATATACAAACTAAGCTTTTATCCTAATTTCTTGACTTGGTAATCATACACATGATAATAGTTAATTAATTCTCTAAGAGAACTGGTAAAACTTTACCATATTCGATCTGAGTCAGGCTTGGCGAATTCTTACAGCTCAGTGTTCAAGTCTGCCATCACATCCCCACACCACGTATCCAGGGAAGCATTTCATGAAACTTGTAGATGAAATGACTGTCCTAGACAAAGTATTTGCCTTCCTGTTTTTGTATTCCAATGTAAACTTTCTCTGCTTCCAATAGTGACTTCTCATCTTCCTGACCATTTGTTTCATCTGCCATTATCACCACTTTCTAGCTACAATGTAGGGTCAGACTGACATTTCCTAGAGACATTTAAATGTTAGATGAACGCTCAAGTTGGCCAGAAAGAAGTGTGTGCAATATATCTTCGGGGAATCAATTTCGGATGGAAAAAAATCATTCTTGGATTTTGTTCATTTGAGTAATTACTTTTTAATGAATGCTTACAATTTGCAGCCTTTTGGTTTGCTTTAAAAATTAATTGAGTGTATATATATATATATATATATATATATATATATATATCACCCTAGATTCAAGAAAATGATATATTTTTTATTTTAGTAGCTAAAAAAAGGAATGACAGCATTTTTCTCCATGAAACTACTCTCACTGTCCTTATTCATTATTAATTTACTATAAACCTTGAACAAGAACATCTCATTAACAATAAAATATCTGATTTCAATCTTCTATATTTGGGGACATTTATTTTATCCTTCTGCCTAGAGAGATTACCGCAGTCTACGGAAAGGTGCTCTCATTCATTCATATTTCTACTTGTTTTTATAGCACTCCAAGGGACAGAATAAAGCAATTAGTCAGAGAGTTGAACAGAAGCACTCAACACTCGCAAATGCATAAAGTTACTTTATTTTAAGTATACATTTAATTTTGAAAAATATAAATGCTAAAATATCTCATCTTCTTCATCTCTTAATTCCATAAAAGTCACAATAGAAAGCTTCATAAAACTGTAAAATACTATGTTATAGGAATTTTAGGTTTCATATTGGAAAAAAATTATTAGTAATATATTGAAATGTTTTCTGTTCTTTATCATTTTGTTCCACCATGTTGATCTACTTCATTTAAAATAAAAAGATGCATCATTTCTCCAAAGTTAATAAAGACTTAAGAGAATAAAAATAAGAGTATCTGAAAGTGCGTACTGATTGTGAAAAGTAATGTGTACGGATATGTACCAGCCACACCAATGGCTGCAAGGAGGCAAGTCTGCATTTGTTGCGCATTGTAGGCCTGGGACAAAGTTACTTCAGGCTCTAAGGATTCATTGGGTGACTTTAGCCCTGAGTTGCAGTATTTGCCTAGGAAACAGAATTCAGGATTCTTGTATGTATCCAGAGAACACAATGAAATGAACCAGGAATAAGATATCATATTCAAATCTCTGGTCAAAACGCCAAGTCGCCAGATTCACAGATATTACAAAAGGGTTTTCGTTTCAGGCTACCATGAAGCTCAGTGAAGTCATCTGCAAACCCCCAAGGCTATTCCGACAGGGAAGCGCTGCAGTCTTCCAACTGTCCCCAGTCACACGGTACCAACTGGGCTTCATGCTCGTGCTGTGAGAGCAGATGGGAACTATCACAGGAGATAAAGAAGAAAACCTCAGGTTCCTGCACCAAAATCATGAAGTGGTATGAAAAAAGATTGAAGAAAACTTTGTCCCATTTCCGATCAATGCCAACCTCTGTAATATAACTCAAATGGTTTTGTTTTCGAAAGATAGTCAGCAGTCGATACATTTCAAGTACTTTAACACAGTTAAAAAAAAAAGAAACAAAAACATGGAAGACAATCATTTGCTATATTAAACACCAATACACAGCCAACAAAGGATTTACTCTGTGTGTGTTGTTACATGTGCCCCAAATGCACATAAGCTGGATTACTGACAGCAGAGATCCCTTCTCTTAGGTGGGGGGTGAGGAGGGAGGTTCCCATTGCCTCTTCTCAAGAGAGTACTTCCCAGCCCCACCCCTCAACTTTACCGGAAGGAGAAGCTGAAACAGCACTGCCTCCAACACACAAAACAATTAGGATTCCAAGTAGTTTTTGCACACAGTAGCAAAGGAACAGCATGTCCGCGGGCTTCTGCAGACTGGAGGTCTCGTGCTTCGGTAGGCAGGCTCAGCCCACGCGTCTTCCTTCTCACAGTCTGTCTGCACTACCACAGGACTCCTGGTCAACAACTCGGAGTCTGTATGTCAAGAAACAATCTCCAAATTCACATCCAGGGAAGAAGGGTAGAAAGGCTTATAAAGAATTCTTCGCTGTATTTGTGTCCAGTTTACATAGAAAACAAAACCACCATGAAGTCTGCTTAGTTTCTAGCCAAGAAGCGAATTCAGCCAGATTCATCCAATGTGGTATTTCCATGGAAATTTGGGGTCCTGCTTGTTAGTGTGGGAACTACAGGAGTCATGAAAAGGCTTGGCGCTAACTATTCCTTGTAGCAAATGTAAGGTATGGCTTTATGTTCATTTTGTGAATACTAACCATCCACCCCAGTCAAAGAATAGGGACCATAAATGGGCTGCGATAACTTCAAGATCTGCTCAAAGACCGAATGATAAGTTAGGTTACTTCAGGAGCTCTCTGAAAAGGATACAGAGGACCATGAATCTCAAAATAAACTTGATTCATAATTAGAATATATATCCAGAGATTTCAGAAAAGTAAATGAAGTGGCTTTGATTTAACATCAAGATGGACTGCCTTTCCTCTGCATGCCTTTAAACACTCTACTGATGCTTCGATCACTAAAAAGATAAGATTTCTTATGTGGTTTAATAGGAAACTAGGTAATATACACTAACCATTTTAAGGATAGCTCTGGATATAAATGTGATGTAAAATGTACCACTTGAGATGTTAACAAATAATGTTAATTATCATTTCAGTGACAGCATTATTTATGATGTCATTTATACCTAATTTCTATAAAATTTAAAGTTTCAAGATGAACCATACACTGTAAAAGTAATAGGTGACTTAGGATAATGGAACTCTTATCATCAAAATTTCAGGAGAGCAGAATTATATTTTAGTTACTATATGAAAGTGGCGGGGGGGGGTCCATAAGAGCACATCACAGAACCAAAAAGCAGTTCAATTCTGCTTCTGTAACTCCTCTAGCAAACCCTGATAGTGAGTGTGCATCACTACTGTTGTTATACGAATCCCAAAGTGTGGATTCCACATCTAAACTATTATTTTAATATACACTCAGAATATAATGTGACTTATTGAAAATATAGCAATCAAATGCCACACTCAATTTGACTAATAAAGGTCTAATTATTCAACGCAGTATGATGAAACACATACACACACATATATTCTAAGTGATCCAACCACCTTGCTCCATCTATAAACACATGTAAATGGGCACTCTAAACTGTCCTTGTGGCTCTATGTTCATTCTTCCCGTTACAGATGTGTGACAGGGTGTCAATATTCTTATGGCTTTTGTGCTGGAACTATTGACTGCTGTTCTCTATGATGCTGATGGATGTCTGAGTGATTAGTAAGATGTAGTCACCTGGATTTACATGATGAATTTCTTGGCTCCTGACGGATTTTTCACGAGTGGTTTGGGTTTTATGAAAACGGACACGAGGGGCTTGACAGCTCTGCCCTCTGTCTGCTGTCACTCTATCTGGCTTTACACAACTGTGCAACAGCCACACTCAGAGTTCACACACAAGCACGCAAACTATTAGAATGAGGAAACCCTTAACAATACTGCCTAGGACGTGGACATGTAACACACCAGCATCTGCCCCCCACATGACCACCACCGCAGCAGAAGTTTCTCCTCTTCCACATTCCTCTCCTTAAACTCCTTCACAGAACAGTTACATTTATTTGGAAGAAAGGGGGAAAAAAAAAACAACAACCACCCAACAGACTCTTAGAAACATGGTGTTTTGTTTTGTTTTTAATTTGTTCTAGCCTTCTGGCTTACCCTAGTGTGTGTGTGTGTGTGTGTGTGTGTGTGTGTGTGTGTGTGTGTGTGTGTGTAAAAATCACATTATATACAATACAATTTTTACAGAAAGCCTGGCAGCTACAGGTAAGAGGTAGAACTACTCAAAACTATGTTTCCTGCTGCAGGAAAAAAATTCCATTTTCTTTACAGTAATTAAAAAAAAGTTTAAAAAATTGACAAAAAATAAGTTGCAGGTTAGGCCCCATAATTTAAACAACAAAATCTAGGAAGAAAAATATTCTTCAATGTACCCAACAGATAAGTTCATTAAAGGGTTAAAAAAAGTTGCATAGGAAAAGGGACATTCCAGCACTTGCTACAATGATGGCCAAGGTTTCTCTACAGGGAGCGAAGTACCTTTAGTGTTTTCTGCTTTTAATAACTCTAAGATCAGGGCTGACGAGCAAGGGCAGGTGGGTAGCAGCACATTTCCAGTCTTGGGGGCTCTGTAAGCAGGAAGGGACTCTGTCTGGAGCTCAAGGGCTGCTCTACCAGACAAGGGCCAGCCAGTAAGCACAGCTCCAAGCTTAGGTCCTAAGTTCCTTCAACAGTGTCATAAAAAGTGATACAAAATTCTTAATACTTTTAATCTCTGCTTGACAAGGGCAGCTTCTGCGTGTGTCTGGAGTGACAAGGGATTTCCAGGTCAGAGGACAACACATCTGAACGCCCGGAAACAAAAGTGTGACTCCTCGGGCGCTGTTGTTGTTTGTTTGTTTGTTTGTTTGTTTGTTTGTTTTAAAGAAAAGGGACACTATCGCCTTGATTTTACCTATGCAAGAGAGAAGCAGAGAAGGTGACTGTGTTATTCAGCCAGTGACCAAACAAAAGTTTTAAAATACACAGACCAAAAAAAAAAAAAAAAGGAAAAAGGTAACTGTCAGTTTTGAGAAAGACAAACAGGTTACAATGTAGTTTCTGTTCCCTTGTTCCTCCCGGGATCATCATTGTCTTCAGGCTCAAGTTCTAGTCTAATCTGAGGCACAACTTTCACTGGAGTTCTAGGAGGACTAAAGCAGAAGAGAAAAAAGAAAAAACAGTGAGTAACGCGATTTTCATCATCATCTCTGAAAGGCTCATGCACTGTGCACACTTCAAATGCACCAATCTGCTCCACTCTAGTGACCGTCCGTCCCTTCCATGTGTATTAAGAACAGGGACTTTAAATGAAAGTAAATGCAAGTAAAAACTGCCCAAGATTTCAAAGATTAAAAGAATTCTCAAAATTTAAAAAAAAAAAAATGAGACTACCATGTGGCTAATATTGTTAGAAATTAAGGGCCAGAACCAGAGCCCTGAAGACATTCATGGTCCTGTTTTCTGAGACTCAAACAGGACCTGTCCTTTCCAGACCCTTGCTAGAGAGAAGGAAACTACTGAAGAATGCTTGCTACAAAGAAACTTCGCTCACCCTGCATGACAATGGAATCATAAGGGCTAACATCCATCCTGGCCTTTAACTTCATGACACTGAAATTTTTCATTATTCTTAAGAGTAAAGCTCAGGTCTTTAAAATTGCTTCCTACCAGCCAAGCCTGGGGTGATCCCTGGGTCCCTGGGTGATTAATTGAAGTCCCAGAGAAGAGAACAAGGGATTCTACCCATAACCCCTACTGCGGCATCATCCCACAGCACAAGACAAATGCTGACCTTGGTATACCCAGCGACTCAAGGAAAGGAATTTTATCAGCATGATGTGTGGCGTTCAAGGAATGTTGATGATCTTTCTCCTGAGAAGAAAATCAATCAATCAATCAATCAATCAAAGTAAATCTTTGGCAAAAATGTGAAATTAGAATGAATATGAAAATCTTCATGCAAACCAAGGCCCCTTTCAGAACTAGAAAAGAGTGGGAAAATCAGGTTTGGACAGTGTCGAACATTGTATCAAGCTAAGCATGCAGACAGTGTGATGGAGACCAAACCACTTTTTCCCTCTCCTTTAGGGCAAGAGGGGAATCCCTGCCATGAGCCAGAACATCCTCTCTGTGTCTCATGCATGTCCCTGAGTTTCCATCCATGTGCAACACTCAGTCTTGCCTATCTGTTGCTATTCAAGAAGTAAAGAGATGTTGGAGGTACGTGTATTAAAATGCCAGTTTAATCAATTCTGTTCTTTGTTGGCCTACAAAGATTATCACATTATTAGAAAAGTTTCAGTCAAAATGGTCATATATAAACTTCTGTATCAACCATCAGTTATGCTACTAAATGATTTTGACAGGACAAACAATTGTTTTCATCACAAGTCTTAAGTTCTAGAACGGCAATTTTTCAAAAGTAACCTTTACAGCTTTCTTTTGTCTTTAATTATCTAGGGATGAAAAATGAAAGCAGAATATGATAGAAGAACTTAGATTCTAAAAGAAACTCCTAACTAATTTCCACTGATAAGGGTGGGCATAAGATCAGCTTTGTTTATAACTGATATTTTCAAATTAGACAACAAGGGTAAGGATGATTGCTCTTTAAACGCAGTGGGTCCTCGGCCTCCAAATGGTGTGCAACGATCCCATTTCCTGGTGTTTACATTCTCGTGCGACTCTTTCCCATACTACAACAGAACTGGCTTCACAGCTAATATGCTGCGGCACAAGTTCTCCGATTCTATTATAAAATACTGTACCTTCTATCTGAATTTCCAGCTATCTCTGGGTGGAGCCAGGCTACTGTGCCACGGTAATTCTATAGAAACGTCCACAGGCCAAGGAACTGAGATTTCCTGCCTAAGACTATTGGTTGGAAACAGATCCTCATCTCCAACCAAGTCCCTAGAGTCTTAGCTCCAGCTGACAGTAGATTATGCAATCTCATGAGACTCTGTACCAGAATCATCAACTCAACAGTTCTTGAATTTTTGAATGTCAAGAGCCATGAGAGAAAATACACACCTGTGATCTAAGCTGCTAAGTTTTGGGGTAATTTGTTACTGAGAAATTGGTAACTTTATATGCCCCATTATTTGATCAATACTTATTCATTTTAAATTTCCTTGGTAACCCTAACCTCTTGCTGACAGTGGGTGGTATTATCCACCAGAAATCAAAGTGTCTCTGTTGTTGTTCCTATACCAGGTCAGTATCCTCTGCAGTGGAGTTGGATCTAAAGGAACACATTTCCTTCCAATGAAAATGCAAAGAGTGATGGGGTTTGGGAGGCAACTGCTTTATGCTATTGGAAAAGCTTCATATGTTCATTGACATTACTAGAGTGGACTGTCAGTCATAGGCAAAAAGATGGCATTCACATGCTTTTACATTGTAGCCAATTACTGGAGAAAGACTAGAGCAGTTAAAATTGTGAATATGAAATAACGGAAGAGGAATGAAAAAATTAGGAAGGAAAATATAAATCAGTTATGTTTAGAGAGTTTTGCTAATATTTCACAACTGCCAATTTAATTGAGAGTATTCTAAATTCTCAATATTAACAATTCATTGATCATAGGGAGACCCTGGGTATAATTTCTCTCTTTTAACTAATTAGAGGATTGACTGAGATCTAAGGAGGACAAACAGTAACAGACAGTGATGTCATACTATATAAGCTGCAGTTCTAAATATCAGTGGGGGAGAAATCAATTAAAAAACATGGTTACAGGTTTAGCTATTGAAAATAAAACAAAACAAAAAACAAAAGAACCCTGGCGATGACTTAGCAAAGACTATCAAACAAAAGTCTAAGAGGTTATGGATAAAAGGAAGATGGGTAAAGCTTAAGGAATATCAACCAATGAATAATAAATGATGTTTTCTGAGAAGTAAGTTGCTTCAGTCTGCACACGGGAAAGAATAAAGGCAATGCAGTAGAGAGGCAGATGGAGGGCAGTCCTAGAGGACAAGCATGGGTCATAGTCAGGCAAGCATGCGAGAGGTTAGTTCTACTCACTGTCCAAGGGTTTGTTATCACTTAGGAAAGGTTGCTGTTCCATGATGTCCATTGGAATTTTAATACTGGGGACCTTTTCTGAGTATGGGCAGTCAGACTGTGAAAGAAATGTACAACAGTTTTTAGAATGTTTTCTATTATTTCAGTCCTTCCTGCTTCCTTCCCAGTGTTTGCCCAAACCTACCGTTTTATCATTTACAGCAACTAAAGAAAAAAGCATTAAGTATCATTCGACTGCCTAACTTTTCAAGTACTCCACATCTTTATCCATCATTTGCTTTCCCTTCTTCTGAGGTAATGGGACTGAGTTCATTGAGGCTCAAACCACAGCAAGAAGATTCCTACAGCCTCACTGTAAAGTGTTCCATAGTTGGATTCCGAATCGACAAACTACACACAACTGTAAAGTGTTCCACAACTGAATTCCCAATTGGCAAACTTTGGTTGTTGTACGTGTAAAAGAAAATGTCCCCTGTGAAGACGGATTAAACACAGGAAATTTTCCAAACTATATATGGTCTTAAATTTCATGTTTTGTTTTACAGTGTTCTCTGATTCTTTCTCCAGGAAAATCATGACCCATATTCCTGTCCAAAACAATTTTAAGACATTTTTAACATCCACTAGCGAGGAGCCCTCTGCAGAGTTAGTCTCTCTTCCTTCCTTTAATATGCTCAGAAACTATTTTATGATTAAAAATTCATTCCAATTTGCTCGTGCCAAGAATATTTTTAAACATAAGCAAAAAAATGAGAAAAATAAAACCAAAAGAATGATCAGATAAGTAGAGAATCATAACCAAGAAAATGATAAAATTCAGTAGCTAGTTGTAGAACTTCTTAAAAACAGGCCACCTAACCCAAAATATCATAAATTCCCATAGGATAACTACTTTACTTTTTAAAGTTTCAATGATCATGTCAGCATTATCTGCAATAGCTAAATTATGGGACTAACCTGTGTCCAACAGCAGAATCTTGACAAAGAAAACATCTCACATACACATACCCCCCCCCCCAACACACACACATACACACACACGGATACATATTTTTCTTTTGGCCATAAAGAACAATGAACTCACAGTGTTTTGAAAGAAGTTAGATACAATTGGAGATAATCATAATAAGTGAATTAAGCTAGTTTCAGAAAGATGAATATTGTAAGTTTTCTTTCATTTGTCATTCTTAGGTTTTATACAGATACATAAAATCATGAAGGTCAAACCGTCTATGGAGATAGAGGGAACTAATGGAGGAAGAAGGGCGAGAAAAGGGACATGGAAGGGAATATGCTCAACATATAGTAATGCAACATGCAAGAGCTATAAAAACTAATTAAGAAAGTAAACATATTGATTCCAAGTCTGTAAGTGGACTGAAGAGACCCAATTTATCTATGAACTGAAGATATCAAGGAAACCATCTTTAACTGGAAGGGGTCAGTAAAGAAGAGAAGGAAGAGGACTGGCAGTGTATCTCAGAAGCAGAGTGTTTCTCTGGCACTGTGAGCCCCTGCATTTCGTCCTCACCACTTCAGAAACAAAAAAGAATGGGGCATGGGGCTTTTATCTTAAAACAAAATTTGAGATAAAATCTATTGCTTATAATGAAAATTCATTTGTGATTAACATATGGGGGTAATGAGTTATAGTACCTTTTGAGAACTAAGATGATATGTTTAACTGACAAAAATTTAAGTTAATTAAGATACCACATGTACCTTCCTTCATGACCATGCCATAAACAAAGTGTCCTTTCAAATATTTCCCAAAATAATAGCACTTACACACAGACACCTGGGCAAACCAACTCTTAATTACAGACTACCAGGCAGGCTCAGAAGTGACTGTGAGCAGATAAAATGTTGGTAAGGTATAATTTTTACAACATTCACCATAAATACAAAACTGTGACCCTGGAGTCCCAGTTTGGACATATGTAACCAAGAACCCCACATCATCTGAGTATCAGGAGACACGTCCAATGCATAGTCTTCAAATAACGGGCTCAACATATAGAACCTACTGCCCTGATAGACTCTAAACTGCCAAGCATGTTCACTGTGTGTAAACAAATGTACACATCTGCTGTCTTGATATGGATGTGATAGAGAAGAAGGAACAGAAATTAGCATCCCCCAAGACATATCCCCAAATGTGCAACATGCAGTAGAAAGTGGTAAATAATACCAAAACAAGAGCATTGTGTGAGTACAAGTTATGAAAAATAATTCTAAGAATTCTGGGATTAATTTAAGGAACTCATTTGATTCAACTTTTGTCATGAGAGAGGAGTGAATTTAAAAAAAAAAACCCAAAAGGTTGTATATTATTTAAGCTCCTAGAGAATATTCCATAATATTAGTTTACACATTAGTAATGTGTAATGATTTTAAGTTTCGTGTTTGTGAGTATGAACTGAGGTGCCTATTTTAAGAATTTAAGATGAAATACTGCATTAGTCATCTTAATACTTCAGCCAGCCTTTTGTTTTTGTCTTGAATGCTCCAAAAATTCACTTTAAGTTTTGATTTCTAGTCAATGTTCAAGTATATTGTTCTTCTTTAATACAGCACGTTAATCTCTGCTACAGTTTAAACACACACTTTGCTTTTCCTTTGCCCATCATTGGAAACAGAAAATCTATACACCTGCTCTCTCAGAAGATGGATGGTGATAGCCACGTAAGTTCCCTCAGAGCCCTTTTCTCTGTAGCTAAATGTGTCTCATATATTTAGCCTTTTCTTATTGGATCAATTTATCTGAAATCCAATTCTGTCTGTTGCTTCCCTTCGCTGTACTATGTCCACGTTCTACAAGAAGAATACAACCAGACAGCCTGATCAACTACAGACACACAGAGAAGCTTGGTCCGAGCTCTGGCTTTGCTACGCCCAGCTGTGCACACTTGGAAAAAAACGGCTTTAACAGATGCGTCAAAGCACTGCCTTGCACACTTTAAATGTATACATTTTCATTTGTCAGTAACACCTCAAGTTCATTTTTTTTAGGTTCTGAAAAATAAAAAAGTCAATGTTTATCATTCTAAATTTCCTGACCTAAAAAATGCAAACAAAAGTATGTACGTTAAGGAACTGTTATGAGAGCTGGAGATGAGGCATGCTCAGCTGAAGTTACTGCCCGATTAAAAATAAACTGTATCCCTACTTTAGGATTTCATGGACACAAGCAAATCATATGATGTCATAAGGATGCCGAAGATGCTGCTCTCCGGCAACACCAGCAGACACCCACGTAGATCTGGAACCTGACAGAACTGTTCACTGAGTGGCACACAGTCTTTATAGGGGGAGCTGCTTGACTGGGCTCATTCAAAACTCACTCTGTTTTGTTCACAGAGATGAATGATCATATTTAATCAGAATTTTAACGAGAGACCATTATTTTCCAATATGACTAAGTAAACCCCCCCAAAATGGCCCACACAGAAAGCATCGTTTTGACAATCCTCTCAAAAGGCTACTTGTTTGAATTCTCATATTTTGTGTGTGTGTACAAATGTGCACAAGTGAATGTATGTATAAGAAAAATAAGATCCAGATTTTCTCTGGGCACTGAATATAGACATCCCACCCTACCTCAAGCATATGTACTTCTGTGACATGATCTAAAGAAGAATAAATAGGAATATTTTCATTTCTCAAGTTAATCACCTAACTATAGGAGAACCATCTGGACTGTGACACTGATGAGGATAATTCAGGAAAGAGACCTTTGCATCTTTTTTAAGAGTTATGGAGAAATAATGCTAAATATTTGAGTCTAAGTACAGGGTCAATGTAACACAAATACAAAAAAAAAAAAATGTTCCTCTAACTGGCTTGACACAGGAAGTGTAGTGGGTAGCTATTCCAGCTTGGATCTGGAAGTTCCAACCCCCATTGAGACTCTGGCAACTGTCACGCCTACGAGGCGGGGCCAGGGGAGGCACCTAGAGACCCCAGAGCTGGATGGGCCAGCGCTCTCTCTGTGCTGCACCCTGAACGTTGGAGGTGAACTGAGCAGAGCTCCAGAGAACACCGCTGGATTGTGATACACCTTCCCCAGACCCTGCGACCTACCTATCACTTAATTTGTGAGTTACACCATTAAATAAATATCCTTTTAACTACGTGGAGTGGCCATAATAACTTCACCAATATATGGCGCTCACGTGGGGCAAATTCCAAAGGCCTGGGCGGCTCCCGCCCTCTCCTCCCTAGCTGGCGGGTACCAAACTCCTAAAGTTTGGGGTTTCCCTTACATCGTCATTGTCGCTATCCAAACTTCCTTTCTTCTTTTTCTTTTTCTTCTCATCCTCCTTCTTTTTCTTGTCTTTTTCTGGAATGACGTCATCAAGGAAGCTGAGGTCGTGCTGGGAGAAGAGGTAGTCCATACCTTTTCTAACAGCTACAAGTGCCAAGATCTGCAAACACAGTAACAGAACAGGCTATGTCAGATGACGTCACGAAGATGCTGCTGATGCTGCCCATCAACATCAGCAGAAAACAGGCCGTGTCAGATGATGTCATGAGGATGCTGATGATACTGCCCATCAACATCAGCAGAAATCCATACAGGTCCAGGGTCTGACAGAACTGCTTACCCAGTGACCCACAGTCTTCCCTGAGAAAGCTGTTTGATGAAAATCTCAGCCGGGCGGTGGTGGCGCACGCCTTTAATCCCAGCACTCGGGAGGCAGAGCCAGGTGGATCTCTGTGAGTTCGAGGCCAGCCTGGGCTACCAA